TCTGGGTCTTCAAGCCACTGAACTAGCCAACTTTCTTACCTTTTGGTGTGTAGAGTAATACATTTTCCTTATTGTCTCACACAATTCTAGCTGAGTTTTCATCTGGTGGCTCAAAGGATTCTAACTGATGTAATCATTTAGCACACAAAGAGAAAAGACACACCAGTTCAGAGTTCAGCCCAGTCAGCTTTTAGACTTACGAATCAGACTCTGCAGAGTCTGATTACTTAACTCATGGTCATATACTTATGAATGCCAAACCCCAGAGTAGCCTCACAACTGAGAGAGTCTACTCTCAAATACGGATTATCATTAGTGGCTTTGGATTTAACATTCTCTTGCCTAACTTGTGTGGTATGCGAACAGCTTCTATCAACTTCCTTCCATGCTATTTTGAAATCCAAAGGAACGGAGGATGTTGACTTTCACATGTGAAGGGCAAGTATTTTAATATTAGTTCAACCTGTGCTTTCTCCACTCCTCTGCTGTGTATTCAGAAACCCCAGCACGTTTTTCTGCATTCATCACTATGGATTCATGTTTTTGAATCCTTGAGATGTCCTACAAACTACAGAAGGAACCTGACCTTTTCTCTTCCTCTTCCCCTAGTCACACATGCCGCTGCTTCTGCAGACACGGAGCAGAAGGGTTGGACTGAACAGGAGCAGAGGCTACCCTCTGTGATGGGGACAGTCAGGGTATAAGGTGATAGCAGCCCTGCCCTGAGACCAAATGGCAGCATGTTGTACGTGAGGAAAAGCTGGACCCTTCCTAAAGAGATTTTACTGCCATTTGCCACAATATCGTCACGTAGTTAATACGGAAATCTACGATAACTATGGAGGTGAATGGTGGTCCCATGGGGACCCTGGGTGACAAAGAAAGGATGGAGCAAGTACTTCACAGAAATTTGGGAGCACTATGGAGCTCTGTAAGGTGGGAACCATCGACATACTTTGTTTTGTTAGCAACAAATAGTCTTTTATGCATGTACTTACATCTTGATTTTTCTGTAAAATTTGTAGCCATATCCTTGGGCTTCACAGTTGGCCCAGCATTAATTTGGACAGAGTCATTTAACCTTTTCCAGCTTTAATTTGATCTTTCATAAATCGAGATCATAATACAGATCTTGTAGGGTTCTTGTGAGAACTAAGTAAGACTATGTGAAAGAATTTAGTAATCTATAAACTGCTCTACAATGTTTTTTTATGTTTATTTATTTTGAGAGAGAGACAGAGAGAAAGCATGAATGAGGGAGGGGCAAACAGAGAGGGAGAGAGACAGAATCCCAAGTAGGCTCTGCACGGTCAGCACAGAGTCCGACTCGGGGCTTGATCTCACGAACCGTGAGATGATGACCTGAGCTGAAATCAAGTGTCGGCCGCTTAACCGACTGAGCCACCCAGGTGCCCAAAACCATTCAATTTTTAGAGAATGACCTTTTCTAAGTCTGCTTTTTAGAAAACACTTTAAACACTGTGATATATAGCAAAATACAAAAGAATATATGCAAACATGTATGTACAAGTTAAATATGCATATATGCACAATTTAAATGTATCCATATGTAGATAATCTTTTGAGATTTGCTTCTTTCATTCAGTTTTATGTCTTTGGGATTTATCTGTGTCTAATACTAATGCATTATTTTCCTTGAACGAGCACAGCAGGACTTATTTATTCATGCTACTGTTGATGGATGTTTTGGGTTATTTTTAGTGTTTTTCTATGATGCACAAACACTCTACATAGCGATCTGTTTCCTGTTGTGCACACGTGGGAGTTTACCAGGGCTCCATAGGAGTGGCGTCCCTGGTGCTACAGCTTGGTCAATACCTGGATTGTCCAACTTTTACATTTTTGCCAAATGGTATTTTTAAAAGCTGTTCTTTGTGTCATATTAATGCAGATGAACGTCTTTTCCTATGTTTATGGGCCTCAGGTATGTCCTCTTTGGTGACATGCCTATACAATCCCTTTGCCCGTTTTCCTTTGGATGTTTTTTCTTATTGATTTATGGTAGTATTTTGTAGGTTTTGAATATTGTGTTGCCATTATCCTTTTTTCAGTTTATGGTTTATGTTTTTATTCTCTTTAATAGTGCTTTTTAATGAATAAGGTTCTGAATTTTTTTTTTTAATTTTTTTTTTTCAACGTTTATTTATTTTCGGGACAGAGAGAGACAGAGCATGAACGGGGGAGGGGCAGAGAGAGGGAGACACAGAATCGGAAACAGGCTCCAGGCTCTGAGCCATCAGCCCAGAGCCCGACGTGGGGCTCGAACTCACGGACTGCGAGATCGTGACCTGGCTGAAGTCGGACGCCTAACCGACTGCGCCACCCAGGCGCCCCAAGGTTCTGAATTTTAATGCAGTTGGGTTTACCTGCCTTTTCCTTTTTGGTTTGTGTTTTAAAAAGTGTCTTGGGGCGCCCGGGTGGCTCAGTCGGTTGAGCGTCCGACTTTGGCTCAGGTCATGGTCTCGCGGTTTGTGGGTTCGAGCCCCGCGTCGGGCTCTGTGCTGACAGCTCAGAGCCTGGAGCTTACTTCAGATTCTGTGTTTCCTCCTCTCTCTGCCCCTCCCATGTTCATGCTCTATCTCTCACTGTCTCTCAATAAGAAATAAACATTTTTAAAAAAACAAAATAAAATAAATAAAAAGTGTCTTGTTTGAGAAATTGTGGATCTTTCTATGGGAGGCAGAAAAATAGCCCCCAAAGATGACTGTGTTCTAATCCCCAAAGCCTAGGAATATGTTATGTTGCACAGAAAAGGGGAATTAAGTTTGTTAATCAGCTGGCCTTAAAGCAGGGTGATGAACCTGGATTATCCAGGTGGGCCCAACACAGTCACAAGAGTATTTTTTTTTTAATTCTTTCTGTTTTTAATGTTTATTTTTGAGTGTGACAGAGAGAGAGCATGTGTGAGTGAGGGGCAGAGAAAGAGAGAGAGACGCAGAATCCGAAGCAGGCTCCAGGCTCTGAGTTGTCAGCACAGAGCACGACGTGGGGCTCGAACCCATGAACCACAAGATCATGACCTGAGCTGAAGTCGGACGCTCAACCGATTAAGCCACCCAGGCGCCCCTCACAAGGGTCTTTAAAAGTGAAGAGGATTCAGAGGGACATGTAATTAGAGAAGTTTGGGCTGAGACTTTTGGGAACTCTCAGAGAGAAACAAAGTTGCTGCTTCCAAGGATAGAGGAAGGGGCCACTGACAGACTCTAGCCCTGGAAAAGGCAAGGAATTAGCTTCTCTCTTGGAGCCTCCAGGAAGGAATGTAGCGCCGCTGACACCCTCATTGTAGCCCAGTGAGACCCACGTTGGACTTCTCATCTACAGAACTGTTGGGTAATAAATGACCACTAAGTTTGTAGTTATTTGTTTTAGCAGTCACAGACAACTAATTCACCAATTCTACTCTGTTTTAGCTGATTTGTTTTATCTCTTTTTTTAATGTTTATTCATCTGTGAGAGACAGAGAAAGACAGAGTGTGAGCAGGGGAGGGGCAGAGAGAGGGGGAGACACAGAATCTGAAGCAGGCTCCAGGCTCTGAGCTGTCAGCACAGAGCCCAACACGGGGCTCAAACCCACAAACTGTGAGATCATGACCTGAGCCGAAGTCGGATGCTTAACCGACGGAGCCACTCCGGTGCCCCTAGCTTGTTTTAAAGGAAACCTGATTCTTCTACCGAGTCCACGTGCGCTACTCAGTACTTTTTACCCACTTGTGTTCTCTGTTCTTCCAGTTCAGAATTTCTCCAAGTTCAGCTTGGACTGCATGTGAGTGGCACCCACAAGGCTTTTAAAAATACTGGTGCCAAAAAAAAAATACCTTGATGGCTGCACCCCAACCAGACCAATTAATCCTGGAATTTCCAGAAATAGGAACCAGTTTTCCCCCAGTACCCCTCCATCCCTTTATCCACTAAGGCACCTTTTTTAGGGGATCCATTTTACAGTAAATTGTAGATACGGATAAACTTCCCCCCAAATTTTATACACAGATTTTATTTGAGAGAGAATAGGGGAGAGAGAGAATCTTAAGCAGGCTCCACACTCAGTGCAGAGCCCGACACAAAGCTCGATCCCATGACCCTGGGATCGTGACCTGAGCTGAAATCAAGAGTCTCAACCGACTGAAGCACCCAGGCACCCCACTGATCTGTATTTTTAAAGCCCCCCAGTCAACTCTAATGCAGCCAGGGTTGGGATCTGTGGGATTCGGCTAAGTGGAGGCAGCCGTTCAACTACACACTTTCCTCAGCCACTCTCAAGCCTGTCCTCTCAGGACTGATACTCATTACTTCTACATAGTTTCCCACCTACCAATCTCATTGACGCCTCTGGACCCTCTGACTCCCGCTCGGCAATACCCACTCTGACGTTTCTGGTGTTAGGTGGAAAGAGCACCTCCCTCCCCTCTAGACCTTGAGCCCTGTGGGGCAGTGGCATTGTTTGATTCAAGTCTTATGTCTCCCCATGGTGCTCTGTAGTGGATTACACACACACACACACACACACACACACACACACACACATCATTTCATTTAGTCAACACGATACTCTACTTCTAGTTAAGGAGAGCCTTGTTTTGTTTAGGAAAGCAAACAAAATGTTAGTTTGGTTAAGTGCCAATATTAAGATGGATTAGAAACGTGGACTTGGTCACAGATTTCATGAGCAGCAGGGGCACTTAGGGCAAGGGATAATTAAAACTCCGCACAGAAGAGATCTGTAGTGCAGGAAAACAAGTATTTCCTTGTGAGGAATATGTGAGAATAAAAATTAGATGTTTTTCTTCTGTCAATTGTTCAATAACCCTGGCGCACTTTTGCCATGTTAGAAACTTTAGCCATAGGCTACTTTAACCTCTTTTAAGCTTTTAAATACTTGCTTAACACCTGTAAGTTATTTTCAACCTAACTTCTCAAACTCCTCTCTGAGAATTTGAAATACCGTTCTCTGTGTTATGAATTTAGAGCAGCAACAAACCTGCTTCTCTTAGAGTTTCCCCTGAGACAGAGAACACAAAACTATCTTTGGATTTTCTATGGGGAAATCTGTTTTGCCCTTGGGGAAAGAGAAAAATCCAGCCCCTAAAGACTAGCAAGTAAGACCTCTTCAGACTCCCAAGACCACTACTTTGGTTTCAAGAAAATGGGTAAGAATTATGTGCAAGACAGATTATTGCTAGCCTAAATAAACGGTAGCCTTGGAAAATTCACAGAACTTTCTAGAAAATAACTCAGTTAAAAAACTCAACAAATCTATTTAATCATTAGCTCTGTTACTGCAAAGTACTCTTCATCTATACTTTTATTTAAAGTACAGCAGGCTGAAAGCCAAAATGAGCTTTAAAAGGAAAAAATGTACATCTGTCAATTTTAACTTCCAGACTTCTGAAATCTTGCTGAAGCAATCAACTGAATTTTATTTGGCTTTGTTTGTTTGTTTTTCCATTTCAGCAAACATCAGTACTCCTCCTCTCCAACTGTCACTGACAAATTTAATATGAAAATATTCTGAGATTGACTTCTGAAGAGCAAGGCCTGAATCGCTTGGGGAAAATAAGAGAAACCTTGTTTATTGGGGGAATAGGAAAGTCAATAAATCCCTGACGAGCTTTGATCCTAATAGAGCAACAGACAGAAGACACAGATATTTTTCCAAATGCCCTGGGTAAGTATTAAAAGAGTGTGTGTGTGTGTGTGTGTGTGTGTATCTACACATATATATGTATCACCACACTGTGGTCTATACATTTTCTGGTTTCAGAATTACTTTTTCTGTTTTTTCAACTCATATTCCAGAGAAGACAATCTCATTATTCCTAGATATGAAGTTTTGTTTTTTATCAGTGGGGGATAGGGATGGAAAAGGCATATTTACTGTTTTTCCCCTTTGCTCATTTGTTTTATTTCTTAAATTCCACACATGAGTGAAATCATATGGGATTTTCTTTCTCTGATTTATTTCACTTAGTACATGTAGGTATATATATATGTGTGTGTGTGTGTGTGTGTGTGTGTATACATATATATACATATATATACATATATACACATATATATATACATGAAAGAGAGAGAGACAGAGAGAGAGCTAGCACTTCTTTACATATATATATATTCTTTATATATATATATATATTCTTTATATATATTCTTTATATATATATATATATATAGTACTTCTTTATCCATGCATCAGACAATGGTCAGTTGGGCTGTTCATTTTCCCTCCCCATGTCTTCCCCTCCAGCCCCCAAAATCTAGGTACTTAGGTTCAAAATAAAAATAAGGAGGTAATAAAGAATTAATGAGAACAACCGATTACTATACTGCTGGGTTAAACCACTGCTCTGGATACTGTAATTTGCACAATGGTTATTTAGTTGCTCTGTGCCTTTGTTTCTTCACAGATGAAAACAGAGATTATTAGAAAGGACACAAGTGAAAAAGACTGCTCCAGAAATGTTTTAGATAACACGTTACAGTCCCTCTCAACTGCAAAGGAATCTTGGGAGGAAGAGAAAGAAGGATTTTTGCATGAAGTCAACCAGCAAGCAACACAATTAGAGACCATGTACTTACCAATAATAACAGTGTTGTCATCAGCAATTAGCAACTTGCTGTGGACATAGATGAGCTCAGTGACTAGGTTTCCTTCAAGCTCTGCATGCGTTCTAAGGCCACAGAATGATATGTAATTTATCCACTGATTGCCAACTATAAAGTAAAAAAGAAAGTATTAAAATGAATATGACCTAGCTCAATAAAGGCACATTACATTTTACTGTTTTTCAAAACAAATATACTCATTAAATAGGTGGTTAAGAATAGATTGTATAGTGTGTGTGTGTGTGTGTGTGTGTGTGTGTGTGTGTGTGTGTGTGTATAATATCAGAACTCACCCAGGATCTATTTTTGCTATCAGAAGAATCTTGTACTATTAATATGGATGGATACACATTAAAAAACCATACTGGAGTGTTTGCTATGAATTACTTTTTCTGAGGCAATCAAAAACATATCAAATGTGAACATGTATTTTAATGATTGGATGAGCAACTACTAACGAGTGATAATTAAAGCAGAGCCAGAGTAGATAACCAAGACATCAGTGTCACATTTGCATCTACCTTGGTTCACACTTGCTGCAGCTTAAATCAGATGCAAAAATATTAATGCCTAAACTACTTGATATAGACATAGTTTGCAGCATTTTCAACACACAGCAGCAGTTAAATTTTATAGACTTTGTGTAAACAAAACTGTTGGCAATTGAATAACACTCCTTCTAAATCATTAAAATCAGGAAATGAAAGAACCTAACGACATTTGACTTTGGAGAATTTTCTCCAGAGCAAGCAGTACCAGGTTTGTACTTTAAAATGCTGCCCTCTCATCACATGAAGGCCATTCGTGTGATAAGAAGAAATGCATTCCATACCAAGCCAACTCATAACCATTATCCTGGCATGAATGTCAGTCACACAATTTTATGGTCCTTCTCTCACACAGCAGTTGTCCTGGATAAGGAAAGTCTTATACTAAGAATAAATGGAGCAGAGCAAAACCATCATGAATTCCAATAGAAAGAGAATATAATTTTTCTCCTTTAAGAGAATCCGAAGCATTCTAACAGAAACAATGGCAGTTCATGTTCTGTTTACTGAAGTTTCCATGTATTACTGATGCTTTCTATTATCCTGTTGATGTTACTCAGTATTTCTATTAAATATGAGGGTCTGGGAAAGAAATTCATTCATAGGTTATATAGAGAGATTGGTCCATTTACAGATAACCCTTCCCTTATATATGTAAATAATATTGTAGCTTTGTTTGCCAAGAGTTGATGTGTTGATGTACTATTACGTGATGTGTAAGAGATTCGTTCCTAAAAAGTTTCATGTACATAAGATTTTGTAAATAAATTTCTTCCCTATTTGTTAATGTTATATTGGAAAGATGGCTCATCTAAAGCATCAACTCCTGAAACCTCTGATCCAGGAGAAAGAAGTATTTCCTCTTTTAAGCCTATCATACCCATAAAATTCCTGGAAAATATTTCTAACATAACACCTAATATATTATTTTACATTCATTTAATCCTCCATTTCTTCTACTCTTATGGAGGTCTTATACATTTTTGTACCCCTATCATTGCATAGTGCTAAAGGAAGGTGAATAAATGAGTGAATGGATAAATGGATAAATGGACAGTCAGGTGACAGCTAATATTTTAGCTTTTGGTATCGTCAATTTGTTTTCCTGAAGCTGGCTCATGATCTAAAATTTTAAGATATAAAGCAGGTTTTTAAAGGAATCACGGAGAAAATTCCTTGCTAGAGTAAATAAGGTTTTGCAGTAACTTCCCATAAAAAATCCATATTAAGCTATATGGTAGGCCAATGGTTCTCAGTGTGCATAAAGACTGCCTCTGTGAGGACCTCTCAGAAATGGAATCTGGAAACCCTCCCCAGAGGTTCTGAGTCAGTAGAAATCTCTAATCCAATAAGTGCCTTAGGGGATATCATTCTTTTGGGGGTTTTTGTTTTGGTTTTTGGGGGATATCCTTCTCTGAATGACACTGTTGCAGAGCTTTGGCATTTATGGATTTAACACTAGTGGTACACATTCAGAAAATGATACACCATGCCAAAGTGAGATGCATTCCAGTGGTGCAAGTCTGCTCAGTATGAGGACATCCATTAATATAAAACATGATATTGATCAATCTGGGGAGAAAAATCATACGATTATTATAACAGATGCTGAAGAGCTTTTTACGCAATTCAGCACCCATTTTGGATAAAAATAATGAAGAAAACAGAAAATGAATCCTTTCTTAACATGCTTAAAACTATATTATATATATATGTATTATACACATATAATATGTGTGCATGTGTATAATATTTTCAATACTATTTAACATTGCCTTGGAGGTATCAGCTAATGTATTTAGATAAGAAAAGTCACATAAGTATAACCATCTCCATTTCCAGATAATATGATAGTATACCTGGGGAATCAATGATAAAAATATCTCAAATGATAAAAAAATTAAATATGACAATAGGATATAAATTAACATATAGAAATCAATAGCCTTCATACACACAAACAATGACCATTTAGAGGATAAAAATCAGAGAAACTGTTGCTTACAATGGCAGGAAAAAAGATAAAACACAAAGATAAACAATAAGCTTATCATCAGGTGTCTGAAATCTTTATGAAGAAAAAATTAAAACACTATCAAAATACACAAGAATAGATTTGAGCGAATAAAGACACCCTTGTTCTGGGATAGAACAATTCAACATTAAAAAGATGCCAACTCTCTCCATCTTAACTTATAAATTTAACATAATCTCAGTAGAAATACCAACCTGTTTTTATGGACCTAGAAAACTTAATATTATAATTCATACAGAAAAAGAAACATCCAAGAATGGGTATGATAAAAGCTGGAAAAGAAAAATTATGAGGGGGCATTAACACTATCTGATATTAACACATACTATAAAGTCTGTATATCCGCCTCCTCTTTGGTAACCATCAGTTTGTTCTCTATAGTTAAGAGTCTGTTTCTTGGTTTGTTGCTTTTTCTTTTCCTTTGCTCATTTGTTTTATTTCTTAAATTCCACCTATGAGCGAGATCATATGGGCATTTGTTTTTCTCTGGCTGACTTATTTCATTTAGGATTAGCAATCCCACCCTAGAAATTTACCATAAATATACACTTCCAACAAAAAAGAATATAAATGGACAAGGTTATTTATTGCATAATTGTAATTGAAACATACTGAAAACAATCTAAATGTCCACCCAGAGGGGAATGATTGAACGACTATGGCAAATCTATATGTGGAAGGCCATGCAGATGTCAAAATAAATGAAGAGTTCCATGAATTGATATGGGAAAAGTAAGAATATATGCATTATATCTGCTCATTTGTACAAAAAGAAACACTGTAAGAATATTCTAGAAACTGACAAAATTGGCTACAGATAGCAGATGTAAGGGAAATAGGGTAGAGAAGATGGGTGGGGAGGAAACTGACACAAAGTATAGGGAAGTGATATTTATCTTAGTATGTCATTTTTATGGTTCTGATTATTGGAAGTATATTGCACACACTCAAAAAAATCAAGAAAAATATAGAAAAAAACCTCTAAAATAGAACAGACTAAAGCAAATGAATCTAACTGTATTTCAAATTAATAACATAATCCAAGTAAATTTTGAACACTAACATTTGAGTATATACCATTAGGCTAAAGACAAAAAGAACTATAAACAAATATTGAATTTTGGGGAATAGATTCATTTCTCATAGTAGTATGGGCTAGCAATTCTAAAACTATTTTCTGTGTATTATAGGATTGAGGAAATACATACATTGTAGATAAAAGGAGCCAGGTTTCTCACTGTGAGAGAAAGGAGTTTTAAAAATAGAAAGAGAGATATCCAGAAAGAACTCTGTGGTGTGGGACTGGAACTGGAAGCCTTAGCGTGGAGACAGACGGATGGACAAACAGATATATTTATGGGTGATAGATAGGTAATGTGTATACCATAGGTCTTAAAGCAATGACATCCCGGTAGCAATGATCATTTCTAGCACCAGGATTTTGGTTTCTAAATGTCACTTTCCACTAGAAGAATCTAGGTTTCTTGGAGGAATGGCTGATTCTAGGGCTAATTCTGGGAATATACAAGAAGAGTATAGAACTCTTCTTGTGCCACCAAGAAAAAAAGGCTGATGGGAACATATCAAAAGCACAGATGAGCCAACTTATAAAGGTACTCACTGGCCAAACCTGTGCAAGCTGGGCATTAAAATTATATTCACTAAATAAAATAAGAATCCATAAGTCCATACCAATGCAAATACATAAATAAATACATAAATACATACATTTTTGCTATAAAGGACACCAGTAATTCAATTGGCAAAATTTCAATAAGGTGTACAAATAAGATAATAATATTATATCAATGTTAATTTCATTAATTTGATAATGGAATTCTACCTGCTTTTTTTAATGTCTTTTTTTTTTCTTTTCAGAAACACATACTCAAGTATTTAGGGGTAAATGGGCATTATAGCTGCAACTTGTATATCCTAAGATACATATGATATGGTATCATATCATATTTTATTATATATATATACACACACATATATACATACATATATATATATATATAATAAGAAATCTTCTTAAGAGAAAAACCCATCTGTCTACGAATCTAACTATTATCAAAGAATGACAAAACAAAGAAGGTAAAAGGTTAACATTTGGGTAATCAGGATGAAGGGTATACGGCAGTTCTAGAAGGCCTTCTGTAAGTCTGAAATTATTTTAAAATAATTTTTTAAAAAGATTAGTGATACTGACTAGCTTAGCAGCCTGAAGGTTTAAGACATGTAATAAATGGAATTTTTGAAGGCGCAGATTTGTGTCATCCCATAGCAAGGCTGGAGAGTATCTGCAATGTATCAATTAGCAGGACAGCCTTGCAGCCCACGATCCATACTACTTTCCATTCTTCCTTGCCTATGAAATAACTCCTGTGAAGTGATAAAAACTTTGTTTCTTTGCAAAAAATGCCTCTCATGGAATAAAAAAACTAAAGGTTAGGACCAGTAACAGAACCCAAAAGGAAAGATCAGGGTCCTAGCCAGAAAGTGGACATTTTATGTTTTTCTAAGGTTATTTATTTATTTTGAGAGAGAAAGAGAGAGAGGGCATGAGCAGGGCAGTGGCAGAGAGGGAGA